AACATATTTCAGTGGGCTCTGCTCTGATTTTTTAACTCTAATTTGAGCCATGTCCGGCGGCGAATTTTGCCGTGCAGAGTCGGTGAGGCTTGTCGAAAGATTATACGGTGGACACGTAAAAATTTAACATCAACTTTGAACCCCTACAATTCCCAAAAGGTTCTAACTCCCAAGAAAATATTTCAGTGGGCTCTGCTCTGATTTATAACCTTTCATTTGATCTATGTCCGGTAGCGAATTTTGCCGTACAGAGTTGATGATGCTTGCCGAAAGAGTGTACGGTGGACAAGTAATAACATCAATTTTGAACCCCTACAATTCACGTAACAAAAATTTAACATCAACTTTGAACCCCTACAATTCCAAGAAAGTTATAAACCCCAAAAAAATATTTCAGTGGGCTCTGCTCTAATTTTTTAACTCTCATTTGAGCCATGTCCGGCGGCGAATTTTGCCGTGCAGAGTCGGTGAGGCTTGTCGAAAGATTATACGGTGGACACGTAAAAAAATAACATCAATTTTGAACCCCTACAATACCCAAAAGGTTTTAAACCCACAAAAATATTTCAGTGGACTCTGCTCTGATTTATTACCTTTCATTTGAGCTATGTACGGTGGCGAATTTTGCCGTACGGTGTTGGCGAGGCTTGCCAAAAGAGTGAACGGTGGACACGTAAAAAAAAATGAACATCAATTTTGAACCCATACAATTCGCAGAAGGTTCTAACCCCAAAATAATATTCCAGTGTGCTCTGCTCTGATTTATTACCTTTCATTTGAGCTATGTCCGATGGCGAACTTTGCCGTACAGTGTTGGTGAGGCTTGCCAAAAGAGTGAACGGTAGACACATACAAAAAAAATAACATCAATTTTGAATCCCTACAATTCCCAAAAGGTTCTAACCTCCAAAATAAAATATTTCAGTGGGCTCTGCTCTGATTTATTACCTTTCAATTGAGCCATGTCCGGTGGCGAACTTTGACGTACGGTGTTGGCGAGGCTTGCCAAAAGAGTGAACGGTGTACACGTAAAAAAAGGTTTAACATCAACTTTAAAGCCCTACAATTCCCTGAAAGTTCTAATCCCCCAAAAAATATTTCAGTGGGCTCTGCTTTGATTTATTACCTTTTATTTGAGCTATCTCCGGTGGCAAATTTTGCCGTACAGAGTTGATAGGCTTTCCGAAAGAGTGTACGGTAAACACGTAAGACAAAATACATCAATTTTGAACCCTTACAATTTCCGAAAGGTTCTAACCCCCAAAACAATATTTCAGTGGGCTCTGCTCTGATTTATTACTCTTTTTTTTAGCTATGTCCGGTGGCGAACTTTGCCGTACGTTGTTGGCGAGGCTTGCCAAAAGAGTGAACGGTGGACACATAAACAAACATTTAACATCAACTTTGAACCCCTACAATTCCATAAAGGTTCTATGGACATAGCTCAAACGAAAGGTAATAAATCAGAGCAGGGCCCACTGAAACATTTTTTTGGGGGGTTAGAACCTTTTAGGAATTGCAGGGGTTCAAAATTGATGTTTTGGGTTTTTTTACGTGTCCACCGTACATTCTTTCAGCAAGCCTCACCAACTCTGTACGGCAAAGTTCGCCACCAGACATAGCTCAAACGAAAGCTAATTAATCAAAGCAGGGCTCACTGAAATATTGTTTTGAAGGGTTAGAACCTTCTGGGAATTGAAGCGGTTCAATGTTGATAGTAGATTTTTTTTACGTGTCCACCGTACATTCTTTCGGCAAGCCTCACTAACTCTGTACGGCAAAGTTCGCCACCGGACATAGCTCACACAAAAGGTAATAAATTAGAGCAGGCCCCACCGAAATATTAGTTTGGGAGTTAGAACCTTCTGGGAATTGCAAGGGTTCAAAGTTGATGTTTTGTTTTTTTTTACGTGTTAACTGTACAATCTTTCGGCAAGCCTCACTAACTATGTACGGCTAAGTTCGCCACTGGACATAGCTCAAACGAAAGGTAATAAATCAAAGCAGGACTCACTGAAATATTTTTTTGGGTGTTAGAACCTTTTGAGAAAAGAAGGGGTTCAAAGTTGATGTTTAATTTTTTTTACGTGTCCACCGTTCTCTCTTTTGGCAAGCCTCGCCTACACCGTACAGCAAAGTTCGTCAACGGACATGGATCAAATGAAAGGTGATAAGTCAGAGCAGGACCAACTGAAATATTTTTTTGGGGGGTTAGAACCTTCTGGGAATTGCAGGGGTTCAAAGTTTATGTTCAAAGTGTACGTGTTTTTTTAAATCAAAAGTATTTACATTTCATTTAAGTAAGGGTGCATGCCGTACAAAATAGCGCACGTATAATTTCATTGAAAGTACTTTTTGTCGGCATGAAATGCACTCCTACAGCTTGTTCTTTTGTATGTTTTCTTTTTTAGTATAGGAAATAGACATTAAAAGTTCCTTTTCTAGAAAATAAAGGATATTTGAGGATGCCGAGTTAATGGAAAGCCAGTATTTAGTAATTCTTTCGCACATAGTATTTTTCTTATTTCGTTTATTTGAAAACTTTTTTTAAGTCAACGCACATTAAATATGTATTCTATGCTCCGCCTACGACAGTAAAGCGCACAATATTATCTGGTCTGTGTGTTCGTTCGTTTTTCTGTTCAACCGTTCCTTTGTCCGTCCGTCCATTCATTCTGCATTAGATTGGCGTTATTGTTGAGTCTAGTCTGATATGAAGTTATTGTCAGATCAACTTGAAACTAGGTAAACATGTTCATTATAATATGTTCTTTCTAAATTGAATACCAAAAGCATTTTGATACTAATATAACGATTCACTGAATAAGAAAATTGATTGTGCGAGCAAATCATCATAGACAAATATTCTTTGTTTTTTTTAAAATTCAATTCGTTTACTTTTTATTCTCATTTCTGATCCGCAATGTGCTATTATATAGCCATTATGTGCTTGGGGGATAGACACTCCGTTTTTAATATTTTGTTTGCAATAATTGATATCTGTTTACAATCTCGGTTTAGAGTTTGGAAAACACAGAAAACGTAAAGAAGACGTCAAAATATGGTTATTTTCCCAACTAGTCCTTTTACCGATGGTGTAAAATCCGGGGAGGGGGCGCACTTTTGTTTATATAAATACATATATATGATAATATATAGTATGTGTTTGAATGTAGGGGAATAAAAATAGTTCATTAACAAAGACTGTCCTGATAATAGACACATACAGAATTTTATCAAACATCATACATCTGACACAGGCTTTATTAAGATGTTTTGACTTTTTTTGAATTGCTGGCACGTTTTTTTTTTATAGACACCACATTTATTTACTGATTGTTATTGATGCAGACATTTAGCAAGCAAGCTAGTCAGTGCATTCAGCTACAGACGTCGTTGGTTTTGTAGTGTCCCCCTTTCACGTCAAATGCTGGCATCTCTGGTCGTTTAAACGTTAAAAACAATATATACCGTACTGGTAGCTAGATTTACTTTTTAACATAACGTTGTTTCATAATGTGGTTTTGTGGTTTTTCCATATACCACATTATGATTCTTTGACAAGTTGATTCTCATTGCGTTCTTTAGTGGTTGCTAGAATTGGTCGCTAGCTTGAGTCTGGTCAATATAGAACGGTATCATGATAGCAACGAAAATACTTTTCAACAAAGCATTACATAGAAAACTTAAGATTAAGTAACAAGTCCCAAACAAGGTACCTAGAATGAACTTAAGTTAAAGTGTCATCGGACGCGAGGATGTAATTTGGCCCGGGTGGGTAAGCTAGGTGTGATGTCTCTTTCTCTATGAAAAAAATATATTTTGAGTTTGCCTCTAGGATTTTCGCAAGCCAGCCATATTTAAATCGGGTCTGTATCAAAAAAGGACTCTGATCATTTTCCATCTCGTCACATACAACATATTCAAAAATAACTTTAGAAAACAAAAAAAATGTGTTTTTCATATATAGTTAGTTATTTCGAATTGTTATTACATAAGTGAGATAGAAGATGTTTAGAAAAGTATAATAATTGTAAAATTCAAAGTGTTTAGAAAATTTGAAATAGTCTCCCATTTGGTTTTTCCCTGGCAAATGGGAATTGGTGTACTAGCAGGGCCTCCAAGCATGCGTTCCTGGATGCTAATGGTAATTTTAGATCAGGTGTAATATAAGAAAATGTGGTAGAATAAAAAAAAAAAAAGAAAATCGGCTGGTTTTCCCATCAGGTGACTAGTATTAGAAATTGTTTTTTGTCTGCTGTTAATTAATGAGTAACGCTAATGGTATTATTTAGGAAACAAGGTTGTAGGCGATTTTCTGTTTCTCATTTTTAGGGTTATGATAATGAAGTCCAACGTTAGTGTTTTGTTCTTTGTTCTTTGTGTATAACTTTATTTACTGTTGTGTTTATTTTAAATGTCAATTGACGGTCTATTATTTTATATTGTATTAATCTAAAATGTGAGTTCTTGAAGTCAGCAATGGTGTATTGGGTTTTATTTTATTTGTGTTCTGTTACTTTTTGTAAACGCTCATGACTTAAAAATGTAAATGAAATGATGAATACGTAAGTAGTTATGAGAAAAAATTGTACATAACAAGAACAGTCTAATCCATCAAATTGTGTGTGAGGGAGTGAAAATCTTAATTTCCAAATATAATATAAGTTCTAATGTTATCAACCGAAAATTAAAAAAAGTGTTATAAATCATGTTAGTCCCGAAACTGTACAATAAATTACCCAAAGTGCCTTATGATGCAAGCTGGTTCATACCAACTATGAGCCTTTTTGAAATTCACACAGTATCTTTTGCATGTTTTGTGTTCTGTTGTTTGTCTTTTCGAAGTTTTTCTGTTGTTTTTTTTTTTACCATGGCTTTATGGCTTTGTCAATTTGTTTTCAACTAATGATTGAATATCCGTTTAGTGTATTTCTCCTCTTAACGTATATATTTCAATCTTGAAAAGCGAATCCCCATGATATTTATACTTTTTTCAGGGTACAGGGTTCTGACAACTTCGTATGTTTTCCGATCTTTTCCAATCTTGCAAATCCTTTGAAGTTTACATTTGGATCACGAGGTAAGTCCCTAGATTTTCTAATGAATTCAAAACGTATTGTAAGAATGCTTTTGATTTCTATTCCATGTCTTATTTTGTTTATGATATCAATACACCCCCCCCCCCCTTTTTCCCCCCTTAACAACAATTCGATAAGTGTGTTTGTCAATAACGGAAACATCTCTATGTCTGTAATTAAACCTTTCCAGTATAAGCAATTTTCGACGTCATATATCGTTTTTGTCATACATCGTTTAAGTTTTTATATTGTAAATGAGTAAATAGAAATAAAGGGAAGACGTCAATGAGAGACCAGCCCAATTATACAAAAACATCTACCCTTCAACAAAAAAAGGAGTATTTAATTTAAATTACTCTCTTCTTAAAGTTAACACATTTAACAGATCAAAGATCAACATCAAATTCTCAAATAATAAAAGAAAACTCATAAAAAAGTCAACTGTCATGGCCATACATTGGTTTAGGTGCATGCACGTGTTGTTGTTTAACAGTGAAATATAATATTTACCAAAATAACACATTAACTCAAACGAATAGTTGTTATTAAGTATAGCACAATATCATTTAGACATTATCAGTAAAACTATTCAGTGATGAAGCTAAAAAAGTCTTTTAAATATAATCTATACCATTACCAAATAATACAATTATGTCAAAATATTAGTATAACTTTTCTAACTTGTGCCACACCATTCGCTCAATTTTAGGGCAGTTTGTGCACTAAAATTTTAATAAGACGCACACCACTATTCTTGGCATCTATTACTTTCCATGTTAAATTGTTTCACTTTCAAACATTTTTTGGGGCGGGATCAGTATACCGTTATATACACATCAGCCCGTACTGGTTATCTGAACTTCGAATACACTAAACAAGGTTCTTTATATCTGAGAAACAGGCAATATATGGCCTCATTTCTAGATTTCTTTCATACATTTTTGTACTTTTCAAAATTATCAGTTAAAATGTGTTCTACAAGGACCACCATTCCTTCACCTTTCTCTGGATAAAAAGTAAAATAACAAAAATACCGACTCCAAGGGAAATTCAAAATGGCAAAATCAAAAGCTCAAAACATATAACGAACGGAAAACAACTGTCATATTCCAGACTTGGTACAGACATTTCCTTATGTAGAAAATAGTGGATTAAACCTGGTTTTATAGCTACCTAAACCTCTCACTTGTATGACAGTCGCATATAATTTCATTATATTGATATTGGATACCTAACTTTCCAAAAAATATTCTACATAGCTTGATATTTACACCCAGGCGTAGGAACTGTTTTGCTTTAAATAAGTACTACTTTCCATTATGTATTTGTTATCGAGCCCGATTTGGTGGTTTTACTATCCGAATCATGTTGCAAAGAATTCCGTTCAAATCGGTGCTAGGGGCCGTTTTTAAATTGCAGTAAGGCGACATTTTTTTTTTGGCCTCGTGTTAAAGGCCGCATTGTGACTTTGAGATGAAGTACAGCAACAAGAAGGTTGTTCCTTTGTTTTTTTATGCTGTACAAGTATTGATTTTGTGTCATGGATGAATACCCCATATCCTTCGTTTTTCTATTTTATTAAATGGGAAATTAGTAAATGAACCCTTCAAATGTAGAGCTATGGGATACAATAATGAATTAGAACTGCTAAGAGAAAATGGTGCCTAATGATAAAATTAAAAGAAAAATAACGCAACATGGTTTACATTTATCACTGCGTTCTGTACTGCTCATGGTAATCAACAGCTAAGAAGTCAATACACCTGTCCTGACATGAGATAACCTAAAGTTTTGTTGATTACACATTCATAAAATGTTAAAACATTACGAGATAACTACCGAGAACCAGCTATGATATTTGTTTTGATAGCAATTAACACTACAAAGATAATATAAATGCATAAAGCACTTCATAACAATTTTTTTATATCGTTTAGCTTCCACAACGTTTGCAAACCAAACAGGAGAGTTTACAGATATATGTGAAATTTGTAAACAACCAGCTGCAACTGCGGTAGCTCTCGGTAAGGACAACATTTACACATGTTTTGGTTGAAAATGGTAACTGTTCGTTCAATTAAGTAACATATCATGCACCTTTTGTTTATTGAAGTATCTTTTGTATTGTAACAATATCATGCTCCACTGCAGATCAGAAATTGCAGTGGCGCCTGCTATGTCAGAATGCAAATGATAGATATCAATATTCTTTCAATAAACCGTTTCAATGTACCTAAACATCACATTAATATAAAACGGAATTGTGTTATTGGTGAGTGTATGGCTTTATCATCGTATATTCTTTCCCTTTGAACTACCTGATTAAGCCTCATCCTCTTCGTTTTTCATTTATAACTTCTTACTTTTTAGGCGGAAAATAATTTCATAGGGTAGATTTGTAAATACCTTCTTAAAGTCATCTTTATAGCTACATTTAAAACATGTATCTCCAAAAGGTTTTCGAATCATAACGAATTGTTTCTTTGTACCTTCGATTAATCAGAATTTAAAGATGTAGCAGTTATATCTCTTATTTAATACGACATTATACAAATCATTGATTTGGAGTAAAGTTCTGTAAATTTATTCAGTCTGGTCATCTAAATGTAAACATTATTCAAATCACTAGGGTTAACTACCTCCAGGCATATATAACTGTAGCAGATTTTGGCACATTTTTAAAATGTTTGGTTTGAAATCCTCTTTAATTTCGTTATCAATCAAACCTGTCTAATCATTTAATTAGAAATTCAACGTTGAGTCTTTTACAAATGAATCACGCATAAACGCTCGTATATATAAGTGTGGTATCCTGTCCAGGTTTGGTTATACTTTTGGTACTTATTGATATGTTTAGCTTCCAATGTTTGAAATAAGTTTTAGAGATTCAATTATTTTGGCCTCAATCATTGCTGACAGGTTATTTCCATCTGGTGCAATAATATTGGTGCCGTTATTGGTTTTAACATTGTTTCAATGAAGGCAATAGCGCCTAATCGTTGGCTAAAACCGCATATCCTACTCGTTATACTCGTCTCTAACGTAAGGCAAATATGACTTGACACCGTATGTTTACTTGCTGTGAGCAATACGACGAATCGGGTAAGTGGAGATTTAAAAAAACCAACGTCTGCTCTCAAAAGCAATTCACAACTTTTTGAGATAAAACCTTTTTCTTTGTGTTGGAGTTTTGATATATTGCGAACTGATATATGGATTAACGCGTCATAATTGTTTCTTATGCACAATGTAGTAGTTTTACTTAATATCTTAATAATATATATAGATATGTAGGACTCTAATGTGCGATGGATACGCTAAAATGAGATGATATACGCTAAAGTGCGATGGAATGACACGCTAAAGTGCGATAGTATAACAGGCTAAAGTGCAATAGTATAGCACGCTAAGTGCGATGGTGTAACAGGAATGAGGTTCAGGCAATGGTTTTCGTTTGTTGCTGTGTTCCTATTATTGTAGTTTTTCGTTTATTATCATGTTTATTAATCAAGCCGTTGTCTTTCTCTTTTTATTTCCTTTACACTGGTCATTATGTTGCCCTATGTTTATATAGATTGCTATGCGGCGTAGGCTAAGGCTCCACGTTAAAGGCCGTAGTTATTAGTTGCACATACCAACGATATTTGGTCTTAGGTTGATACGTGTCTCATTTTTGTATTTAAAGTACGATAGTTGTCAAAAAAGTGTAATGGTACATTGCAGTTGCTAGTATATACTTCATGAACCTGTCAAGCCAGGAACATGTAATTCAGTGGTAGTCGTTTGTTGCTGTATTTGTTTTCCGTTTATTGTTTTGTTTATAAATCAGGTTTTACACTCGTCTGGTCGTTTTGTGGCCCGTTGGTCTTTTTAGAATACTAAATGCTAAATGCCAATGCTCCGCGTTAAAGGCCATGTGGTAACATATAGTTGCTTAAATTATTGGGATTTGGTCTATCTGGTCGTTAGGTTACTGTCTAGTTGACGTGAATCCATATCTTTAACAGAAATAAAGAACCGTATTGTAAACAAATGTTTCATAGAATGATTCCATTAGAAAATAAAAAAAGTAGACTTTATTTCACGCACAATTTAATTAAAATATAGAACTCTGATTTCGTTATACTCCATACTATCTAGTTAACGTGAATCCATATCTTTAACAGAAATAACGAACCATATTGTAAAGAAATGTTTCATAGAATGATTCCATTAGAAAATAAAAAAAGTAGACTTTATTTCACGCACAATTTAATTAAAATATAGAACTCTGATTTCGTTATACTCCATACTCGTATGGAGTATAACGAAATCAGAGTTCTATATTTTAATTAGATTGGTTCACGCAAGTTCATAACATCTTATTACAAACCTAGAAGGCCCTGCTAAATTAAATTTGGACGAATTTAATTCCTCAACATCCAAGTGTGCAATCTCCAGAATCTCCTTTACTTCCTAAGTTAAATTATATTTTGTAACCTGAACATAAATAGTAGAAATACTAAAATTATTTCAGTATAAATGATCAAATGGTCATGCGTATGACCGTCCTGTATATGCATGTGATATTTGCCACTGTACGGTCAACAAGCGAAAATAAGTTTATATTACTTTATTAATTAGTTTTACCGAACTACTAGAATATATATATATATATAATTACTCTAAATACCAGCACAGCAAGGTTAAATGTGCAAATTTGCGGAAGCAAATTTTTGTTCCTCCCTCGTCGAGATATATATATATATATTAATATATATAACTGTTTTCGCTCTACAGTTCTCAGGAAAACACAACTAAAACATTAAACAGATTCAAAAACGTGTTTTCAGCAACAAGCATTACATTGGTGTAAGCAGGTTTTAGTATTTGATGCACTTCTGTATTGATTAAACATTATTAACAAGTCTAACGGAGACTTATCACATATGTATTTGAATGAATGATTATCTTGGTATCTTTGTATACGATTAATTGTTTCCTTTGCAGTACCAGGATCCCCCGGTAAGTATATGCATTAATGTTTTAATTCAAAAATCCAGACGACCATAAAGTCGTCACAAAAATCAAACGCACAACTTGTGTATTCGCCAGCTTGACTGACAGTGATGAGAAAAGCTTTATTGTTTTCAAAATAAAGGAGATGGTTATATCGTATAACTGTCTGCCCAGGCCACTATAGGTAACAATCACCAAAAAACTAACGATAAGAATTAAAAATAATTATAAAAATAAGAAGATGTGGTATGATTGCCTATTACACAACTCTCCACAAGAGACCAAATGGCACAGAAATTAAGAGCTATAGGTCACCGTACGGCCTTGAACAACGCGCAAAACCCGTATTGCATAGTCAGCTATAAAAGGCCTCGAAATGACAAATGTAAAACAATTCAAACGAGAAACCTAACGGCCTAATTTATGTATAAAATAATGAACGAAAAATAAATATGATACACAGCACGCAAACCTCAAGGAAACAGAATTTAAGATCAGTTCAAACAAAACTTTTAACTTATTTAAAAAACAGAGTTTTTATACTGAACACGTCTATTGGTCAAACCAATTACATGTGGCAAAAAAGTATGCAATAACATTACAGAAATTATCAATATTTGAAAATGTTTCAGCATCCCCCACGCAGCCTCTAGACTGTGATATACCATCAATGTGTTCCACACCTGGTATAGCATGTGCTTCGAATGACATCATCCCAAAAGGTTCGGGATGTCCAATTCTAACGACAGAAACCTCGACAACAACCATATTTGCATCCACAACAACCACACATGATCCAACAACAACTGCCCCTGAAACAACAACAACTACTTTTGAACCAATAACAACTACACCTGTACCAACAACCACTACACCTGAACCAAAAACAACTACTTCTGAACCAATAACAACTACACCTGTACCAACAACCACAACACCTGAACCAACAACAACTACGTCTGAACCAATAACAACTACACCTGTACCAACAACCACTACACCTGAACCAACTACAACTACACCTGAACCAACAACAACTACTCCTGAACCAGCAACAACTACCCCTAAACCAACAACAACTACTCCTGAACCAACAACGACGAAACCTGAACCAACAACGACGAAACCTGAACCAACAACGACTACCTCCGAACCAACAACTTTACCTGTACCAAAGACAACCACTAAGGGTCATCATGGCCATTGCAGGAAGAGAAATCACCCACATCCTTAAATTCGTCATATAAGAACACAGTGGATAACCAATCCAACAGCCTAAAACACAAATATGACAAATAAAAATTAATTCATCAATGTTTTTTTTTGTCACTTTGCAATCAAATAATTGTTGAGAGTCTTCTGTATCTATTGGTTAATAGTATTTAATACTTAACCTCAACTAAAACTTGTAAATGGAAATACCACATTAATGTAATTTTCTATGTAATCTTTCATCGAGAACTCACAAACCCATAAACTTAAAAGGGACGAATAATTACCTCAATACTTGAGGTATACAACGACCAAAATGAGCCGTTATAAAGCAAAATGAACGTGAGAGTTATGTGCCTATATTAAATGACTATTAAAGTAAATGATTTGAACAATGATATTGTTGATACGACTGCCCAAAATTGCTTACATCCACTTCATTTGGACTGTGGTTGATGTTTGTCTCATTGGCAATCATACCACATCTCTAAATTGCTATATTATTAGTTCTATAACATAAACGGTACCATTTGTTTTAACCTGCACTATTTCAGTGCACAATTAAGACACGTGTTGTTAGAACAATTTTTTTCGCGCTAAATACAAGCAGTGTTATGGGCATCAAAACAGAAAGTTATAAACGGAACTTCATATCAAACTATAAGGAGTTCCTTCCCTTTACCATAAGTCTTCATAAGTAAATGTATAACAAAATTATGATTTACCATAATGTTAATAATAAATCAAAAAGAACCAGTTAAGTTACATGATAATGAAGTTTTTTTTCGCATTTTGTCCAGCCGAGGGTCATTCATGTATGAACTTAGAAATTACAAGAACACTTAGATTTCAGCTATCTATGACAATTTTAATATTGTATTTGTTTAAGTCCCTCTTAGTTTTGTAGCTCTTTGTATTATTACACCACTTACTTTCAAATTTGTTGTGCTGCACGTTACTGCAAGAAACATCTACACTTGATTATCAACCATGAAATAATTGAGCAAATATATGGATTCATTATAACAAGTTATAAAGCTCAAATCATTGTGAATGCTTTATTTGAAAGTAACAAAACTACCTATCATATTAAATCAATGAATAATTCTAACATATATGAAAGTCACGAAATAGTCAACAGTGCCGTTAAATACCCATCAATCAATTAATCAATTTTGTTTGTTATACTTCAAATGCAAGGCTGATATATTTATTTGTGTGACTGTAGGAAATCATAACATTGACCTAGATCTGAGGTTTCGAATGTATTAAGCATTTCAGTAGTAACCGTATAATATATTCATCTTTAAAATTATATACACACATAAATAATATTTCTCTGAAAAAAAGTATGATACAAATACTCCAATGCAAATTCAAAAAGGGATGGTTCATAAAAACTGACAAAATCAAACGCTATCAACGAATGGACTAAATGAAAACCAACTGCCTTAATTGATAAATGCAATTTTAGAAGAAAATGGTGGTTAAAACCTGGTTTGATAACTAGCTAAACCTCCAACTTATATGAAAGTTGTTAATAACTCCGTCATATTGACAAACTTGGGTGAGCAACCCACACAAACATAATAGGTTAATGTGACAATAATTGGGTGAACAACCCACACAAACATAATAGGTTAATGTGACAATAATTGGGATCCAGCAGCCAAAACTGTGTAAACATAAAACACAGACATACAACACAATTCACTAAACAAATCGAACACACATACAAATAAATCTAACAAAGTCGCCAAAAAAGGTGTAGATTGAATTTGACAACAACGTCAACAACAAAAATGATTGTTGTTGATAGTACATACCATATATTGTATACACTTTCTCGAAAAAGTAAAAATTAAATAAATATAAATACAAAGGTAAAAAAAATAGAAACAACATGTCCGTTTGTACAACCACAACGCATCCAACAGATATAATAACAGTGAACTCCACTGAAATACTAAGCACGGAAGTAATAAGTCGAGTACATTTATTCCTACAATATCTACTGAAAGAATCTTAGAGGAAGCCACTTCAACAGCAAATGAATTCAATGCTGCTACTTAAGGTAATATGAACCTGACAAAAAAATAATTAAAGTAATATAAAAATGGTATATACTCAAAGGAACAATATCCACTGTTGAAAAAATAAAATAAAATTGGCATGTACATGACTTCGTTTCCATGGCAAAGACCTCTGAATGTATCATATTTGTGTATATGCTTAGATAAGGGATATGGGGATAAAGATCGATAAAAAAGGGTAAATGCATTTATGGAATTTGATTTATTGGCAATATACACATGTCCAAGGGATCAGCTTTTGGTACATAAATAAAAAAAAATAAATTGGAGATTACACAAACTTATTTAAATAAGATATCCCAGAATTCAATATTTGCCTAAATTTTCACTGATTTGTTCATAACCTTGGTCGATATAAATGACATAAAATAATATTTGCAACAATTAACTTTTTTTGTAATCACCTTAAATCATTTACAGTAAGCTAAATTATTACAGAAAAATAGAATGGGTAGATGATTTGGAAAAAAAAGTTTTAATAGAAGGAAAACTCTTAACTAACTCTCTCAAATAATAATGTGCTGGTCCACCTAATAACAGTGCAGAAGTCAATACATAAGAATAGTATAAAATAGCTCTACCTTTTAGATGTTTTTATTTTGCCCTAAAGACAAATCTTGCGGCCTTAAAATTTCAAATCAAGCCTAAAGATGGTGGAAAATTTTTGACTGGTTATATAAGGGAATATTTCCCTACTTTTTACTGTTTTATCTATAAAAAATCATCAGATTAAAATCTTCAATGATCAGGCATATTTGTGGCAACCAGTGTTTTACACGTTGCTTTTAGGGTCTGCTGAGTAGATATAAGCAATAAAATCTTAACTTAAAAATTTTGCAGCTTAGGTGGCCCAGTAACTGAACACCATCAAAATGATCAAGAACTGTGAGTGAACTCACAGAGTGATACCCTCTCTTTTTTTTTTCTTTTTTTTTGTGAAACTATAAGTTGAACCATCTCCCCTTATCAATTTTGAACAGCAATCATATTTCTTCATGCACATCTGAAACTGTGTGAGGTTTCATAAAAATCTAATGAGCGGTTTACTAGGATTTGGGCTTACAAGGTGTTCCTTCATGCCCATCTGCAAAAACAATATTTTGTTCCAAATATGGAAGCCTTCACGGTCCACCGAACATAGAAAATGATAGTGCGAGTGGGGCATCCGTATACTATGGACACATTCTTGTTTTTTACCATTTGGGTCTTTATACTTTAAATTTTCAATCTTATATGTCATGAAACTACCATTAAATTATCTAAATATCGAATCTAATTTCATTCAAAGCTTCCTACTGACATATGGAAACAACAAATATGTAAGGGGTTTCAGTGTTAACCTATGTGCTACAAGAGGCTCCTGGGGGTTAATCACTGGACGTTGTAATTTTCCAGGGTTATTCCCTGGTGAATAATAGGTTTATTCAATGGACGTTGTAATTTTCTAGGGTTATTCCCCGATGAAAAATATGGTTATATAATGGACGTTGTAAATTTTCTACGGTTATTCCCAGATGAATAATCAGGTTACATATTGAAATAAAAGATACATGTATTACATTTTAGCTTTCTTTCCCAGTCGTTTTCTTTTAAATGCTCTTGAAGTTGCCAATGCTCTCTGCTTCGAACTTTGATAATCCCTTAATCTGGCAAGGCGCTGAGTGTGGTAACTTAGTGAAAGCACTAATTTCTTATTATCCTGGAAAAATAACACATAACACATAACATTAATTTACATTTCTTTTTATCATGATCTAAGTTGTCATACAAAATAATTAGTGTTTGGTAAACAGATGTACACTAAACAGCAATTCTTCTTTTAATGCTGACCTACAAAAATGAGACAAAGGTGTTGCGTCAACATTATGTGAAGATTTCAGGATAATTTTTTTAACTTTAGAATTAATGCATCTACATACAAAGATGTAACCCTGGATGTTTTTTTAAATTTCCTGAGCCACAGTCAAAGTCCCATAACTCTTACAAAGTTGGTCGAATGAAAATGGTGGAATAATATACACATCTTCATGTTATAACAATAAGTCCTACCTACCTGAGACAGACAAACGGATGGACGGAAGAACACCACGAACACTATATACTGCCCACTTTTCAAGTGTGTGTGTGTGTGTGTGGGGGGGGGGGTATAATAAAAATAGTACAACTTAAGTTACATTGACTAGGTATCTGTGACATGTGTTCTTCTGGGCAACACTTGCTGCAACACTGTAGTTCAAATTTCCTAAAAAAATTGAAATGGACATGCTTTTTTTCTTTAGCTGAAACCATTCTGTTGAAACTTTCATTAGCTTGGGTACTACCAACAGCTGATAATTTAATGCTGTTAACATATCCTTCAAAAACATTGACTTTTGTAGACTTAAACTTGACAGCGATTTTCCTTCAGGAAATGATTTGAAAACATAATTTGGATTACTGAGAAATTTGCACCAGCGACTATCTAGAGCAACATTGATGATCACCAACAGGATGTTATGAAACTGCATTAAGATCTTTTGCTATTTGATCTGGATTTCCTTTATCTTGGGCTATTATGTAATTAAAACAACTTTGCAAATACTTAATGATTCTATTCTTAACTGCGGCCAAAGGCCTTGCGACATATTCAGCCAAACAAACTTTATTAGAACAACATGTTAAGGAACGATCGTTGTCATTGGTCAATTCATACCTTCGACCTCAAATAAACTTTCAAGACCCGCCCAAGCACACTTGCGACAATAGAACACGCGTACAATAACCGATAGAAAGTTGAAAGGACTGATCACGTACAGGATTGTGTTCTTGATTATCTCATGGCAATTCTAGCTTATACACGTGCATGTACAATTTATTTATATCATTTATATCATAATTTTGTGCAATAGTTCTAATAAGATTCTTACTTTAAAATTTTTGAAATTGATAACGAAGACTCTTTAATAACGGGTTTCCCGGCAAAATATTGAATCCAACTGTCTC